GTGTTTTAATAGCTGCTAAGATGAAGGTAGCTTCTTGATTGATGAGGCTGCTTCACTAATAGCCGAGTTACTGTTCAAAGAAACCGGAAGGTTGCTAAATGCTTTGTTTGCCTGAGTTAATGCGATCTTATTATTGGTGTGATAAACCGAAATGTATTTTATATTTATGTTTCTGAGTGGGTAATTTACTCGTAATTGCGTATATACCTCACTTAGGTAAATGGTACCTCCCACTATATCTATCTATGTGTCTGCCTGCGTGCTAATATCATTCTCTTTTACGGAGTTCATGCATCATCCCCTTTTCGGATATACATAGAGAAGATGCATAATGAGTGGATGGATAGCTAGGCTTGTTATATCTATGTATTAATTCATTCATCCATCAGTTGGTCGGTTAGTTCTGTGATTGGTAGTTTGGGTGTAGATGTTGCTGATGACTAGATCAACGACGAAGGGTCAGCTAGTTCAGATCATAGTGGATAAATATGATAGAAACTGTCGCTTTAGCTGATCTCATATCCTGAGTGGATAGCATAGGATAGACATGGTTGAAGTATACAAGTATGTATACTCAAGCGTGTGATATGTGATAATAAGTGGAATTTCATTCTGCAAATCATTCGAGTATTCATTTGGTAGCATTTGATTATTTAAGTTTAAGTTACAATAACTAAGAACCTTCTTATAATCTAACAAGTATTTGAATGAGCTGCGCTGGAATGAATATCTATCTGACGCGGATGGATCCACCTTATAGCTTCGTATATTTATGTATTAGTTCACGATAATATAGTGATAATGCATAGACAGACCTGTGTGTTCATAGTGCTTTTTTATTTGTTTGATTGCAGCAACAGAGACTAATGATAATGATTGTAATAGTGCTATGAAAATAATATTGCTGGCTTGGCTGATATAATAGAAATTAGAGTTTTATAATGTACAAGTAAGTGCACATTATGTGTGTGTTTAATTAATGAGCCTAAGGCCGTTGTATTGTCGATGTGCGTTTATCCATATCATGGAAGATTGATGATTGGTGACGGTAGTAATAATAATTATTATCTGTGCATTGTCAACAAACTTTTATTATTGATGGTGCAAAGCATAATAAACTTCATATTGACCGTGCATCGTATTAAAGTTTATATGAGATGAATTGTTAATAGATTATGAATTTGATGAAGCATAACATAGCTTGCTTATTATTCAATGAAAGTGAACATTTCGTTATATATGCGTGCTATATGAGTTTATGTAATCGTTTAAATGGCAGCAGCAGCAGCAGCAGNACTAAATTCATTTTTCAGTATGTCGAGTCGTCGTAAAACAGTACCAATAAAATTCTACAACGACAACACGTGTGCCCGTAATACAACAACTCTAGCTGCCGCTTCAAGCAACGACAGCTGTAATGAAGGTACTGCCAGCGATGAGAAGCATATTGCCGTTTGTGCATGTGACAGTAAAAGTGATAAGATGAATAATCATTCTAATAGTGTCACATCAGTCAGAAAGCGTCTCCTTTCGCCATTATCTTCAGCAATGTCGTCATCAGATAGTTATCATGAACATGAGACTAAGAAAAGTTTGAAGATTGAGTCAAGAGAAGGGCTCGATAACAACAACAAGCCTGCTCGGGAACGGCAACTCCATCAAGAGTCAAAAGAAGAACTCAACGAAGAATCTGAAGAAGCTCAAACCGTTTTGAGTCGAACTAGTGATAGTGATAGTGATAGAGGCAATAAGAGTGCGCTGGAGTGTTGTGGATGTGAGGTGATACTTGATGAGGTGGTCAGTGCTCAGCGACCGTGCTACGACCACCTATCGTCAGCCTGTGCTGCATGTGCGTCCGCATCACTACCGCATCAGTCTCCGCCGGCTTGTCGTAATCGTCAACACAGTTCATCAAGCTTCACTTTAAGTGGTAGCAGCAGCAGCTGCAGCAGCAGCAGCAACTCAGGCTCAGGCTCATGCTCAGCTTACCTATCGTCCCAAGCGCATTCACAAATGGAACATTCGACCGTGGATAGCAGTAGCGGCAACAGGCGAACACCAAGCGAATCGTGCCAGCAGCAGCCACCTAACGATGCCCAGAACACCGTCGTCAAAAAACGTCGTCGATTCACGTCGGGTGGTCCTCACTACCAGCATGCACATCACCATCAATATCAACACGATCGATACCATCGAACGTCAACAAATTCGATCACTAGTACTAGTAATAGTATCACGACGAATACTACTAATTCCAAACAGAGAGTGAGCGTTCAGTTCAAGTTGTCTGAATTTTGATTCTGATTTGAAATCGTTTTAATTGATATTATTGGATCAGTGTTGGAATTATTATTGTTACTATTGATTTGATTATTAACTATTGATTGTGATCATCAGTTGATCACTGCCAAAGGTTTCGCTCTGATCAGCCTTTATTATCAGTTGATCAATAACGTCGTTATGATCACTAAATAATTTCAGGTGTTTCAGTTGTTTCTCAAGTTTCTAGACGTTGATATATGAATCGAGTTAACTGTTTACCATAGAGATTTTCATAAGAGTAGAGTGAGAAGCATGCAAGCAACTAACGGAAATGATATTGACTAGTGCTGCTGCATTTGATTGGCTGTTTAGATGAGTGAAAAGCACAAAATATAGAGAAAGAGACACATCATAAAGATACAGACGCATAAACAGTGCTCACATAGAATGAATAAAGGGTTACGGTAACGCAGAGTCCTCTTTCATTTGATTTGGTTCTCGTATTGTATTATTACTGATAATCTATTTGTTATAGAATATTTTTAAAGATGTTCAGTAATATTTTAAAGATCAGATAAAGTTTTGAATAGTGACATTGAACTTAAAAGTTTTTAGCAAAACGGTTATTCGGCAGCGATAAATAACAACAACAACAACAATAGCAAGCATAATTCATTGAAGCAGCAGCAGCAGCAGCAGCAGCAGCAGCAGCAGCAGCTCGATAGCGTGCTCATGAACAGACACCAGTCAATTGCTCATTCCACTTCAACAGCACCAGCAGTAGCTGCAGCAGTATCAACAAACACATGCACTTCCTTATTATCCATATCCACATCACCTCAACTGCATTCTGATTCTGTGAAAAGTGTTACGTCTACCATTTCTGATCATACCAGGTATATTATTACACATTCCGTGTGCTCATTACGTGATAGAAGCAATGCTTAGCATTCGTTTTACATACATACATGCATATCTATTTATGCAATGCTGCAGTGGTGTGTTGTAGGTGTGTTGTTGGGATGATTTATTTGAGTGCTGCTATGATTAGACGAATAAAGTGGATAAGATGCAAGCAGGCAGCACAGATACATAAGAATCGTGTTTGATGGATGGATGGGTTGGCAGGCGGCAGTTTAATGAATGATTTTGATTAATTGAAAAGGATGATTGCTTCATAAATGACAGATTATTATCTATCGTATTATACCAGTTAAGTTGATGATAACTGAGTTCGTTGATTTGATCGAATTAATTCCCTGAGGTGTCAGCAGTCAGCAGTGACTGTTATGCAGTGAGTTTTTGTTTCGATAACTAGCTCTTTGCTGATGAAGGCAACAGCATTCTGATGTGCTGCTGCTTGCTGCTCTATTCATCCATCAGTCTTTTATCTGCTTACGAGCATTTTGTCCATTTCTAGAAATCTTATTTATTTGATGACTTGACGACAATACTTATAAACCTGTTAGGATTATTCATTACTCTTTGCTAGTGGATGCATACGAGCACATTTAACCACTTATTTATCTATTCATCTTTGAAATGTTGAGTGATATTAAGGATAAGGATATTTATTGACTGTTACTGTCTAGGGTATGAAACTGGCCGACTGACGAAAGGGGTTTAGCGATCTGAGAAGTATGTATCGGACGTTTCAATTTGTGTTATAGTGAGATAAAAGTGGTTCGTTCATGAAAACATTCGTTGATAATAATAATAATAATACTCTGTTTGTTATTTGCTGAGTGATGGTTTATGAGTGTTTATTATGTGAATGTAGATTCGTTTATGGGTTTATTATTGTTATATTATGATTGTCTTGTTATATGTTTAGCTGCTATTGTTAGTTATGGCTTGTTATCAGTTTTACAATCATCACTTGATAGCAGCAGTAGCAATATGAGGAGAGGAGAGCACGAGCAAGGGGTATTGGGAATGGAGTTATCATTTGTTGTTGTTGTTATGGTCGATAATAATGTTATTTGATACTTTTCGGTTATGTAAGGGACGTTAACTGCTATCACAAAAAATTGGTCGGGTTGACAGAACGTTATTGTAGTGGACAGATAATAAATGAGTGAATAAGAGGGCAAATACGTTCTTGAGTGATGGCGATTGTAGATGAGATGGAGGAATTTTTTTAGCAGATGAAAAATAGTTTAGTGAAAATGGTAATCTTTGTTAATGTAGTGAGCATTGAGCATGCTTCTAGAAAGCGTTCGTGCCTCTGCTATTATTGTGTTGGTATGGAACGATAGCAGTAGTGTATGGTAGTAGTAGTTGTAGGTATTATATTAGTTGCGATAGATTCGGTGTGATTTGCATTTGATAAAGGAAACGTGATTGATGAATCAAACATAGTCATAAGTACAGACAGTTATGACGTGACTAATGGTTATTTCCGCTTGTGTTACTTAAGTATTCTTGATCGTATGATTACGGTGGATGATTATTATTTGATTGTGTTGATTGGCGGTGCTTTTCTTCAGCAATCCAACAGCCAGTTTCAGCTTAGCATCTTAATTAGTTATTTACTTTAAATTCATTTTCTAACAAGTAGTTATAACATAATATGAATGCAATAATGTTCAATGATAGTAAAATCGTTTCAATGCTGAATAATTTAACGATGGCCTATCAGCTCAGCCTGAATCGTGTGCGATCCTCGTCATGCATTCACCACTAGACATCTAAACTTACCCAGCAGTAGTATCTATCCATTATCCATAGTTCAAGATGACCAAAATTTCAGTACGTCAGCGTCAACGGGCTTAACTGAGATTCCGGATATATTGGCACAAACAGAGCACGGTTGTACGGTATTGATCGATGGACACGCGTTGAGAGACGTGTTGAATAGTGTTGAGAATCATGACGCAAAACTTGAATTGGTACAGGATTTGATAAAACAGGTTCGTTGAAATGAGTGCTGATTAATTGATAATTAATGCTGCTGCTATTCGTATTTGTTTATGTATAAGCAAGCAAGCATTATGTTGAATGAACGAACGAACCTTTAATATCTCATGCAAATTTCATACTGCTTCGATAGGTTATTAATGGTTATGAGTAACATGACATGAGTACTTTGAGAGATGGCATGATAGATATAGAATGATGACGACGATTGGCTGGTTGAAGCAATGTATAATGCATTTATATCGTGCTCTTGAATCGTTATTATTTTTATTTTCATTATTAGGCGTAATAATAGTTGTGCTGAACGATTGCTTTCATTCATAAACACTTAAATTTATTGTTTATTGTGGTTTTATTTGATATAGCAGGCGGGTGAGTATCTTTATTGAGAGGCTAGGGTGGGCTAGGTAGGTGCTAGGTATAAAAGAGTCGAGTTGATCGTACTTATTTGATATAATTCAGTTGAATAGCATTAAAGAACGACTATCATCTGATGAGTTGCTGAATATTGGTAAGGAAGAGGAGGACGATTTAGAAGTGGACGGTGAAGAGTCTGAAGAAGAGGACGACGGATTAGTCGACGAGCCTGAGCAAACCCAAGACGAACACTCTTCCAATGTGAATAGCAGCAACCAGGATATATCTGAAGAAGACGTCTTCTTATCGTACATTCGCAGTTGTGACGATCCAAAACAGGTAGATACATCACTGATAGCTGCTCTTATCGACTGTTTCAGATGTATTTGGATATATATTTAGGGCTTATCATGTATCATTTAATTATAGAAAATGATGGGCAGTGAAAGAAGTGCTTTGGATGAATTTTTTCTGCGACAGCAACAACACCATCAATATCTGATGCAGCAACAGCATCAGCAACAGCAACACAACGAACACCAGCAACGTATACTTGCGATGGCGTCTGCAATCCAGCAGACGGCTGCCGCTGCAGCTGCCTTATACAGCAAACAATCGCAGAGCAATTCAGATCGAAGCACCACCTTCAGTGGAGCACTTGCTGCTGCTGCTGGTGCCACCGGAATGAGCGCCGCCACCGCTGCACCGAGTGCACTCATCGGAGGCGCAGTAGCCAATCCACCGTCAACAATCAACACTCCCACAACTACAACTGCTACTGCCACAAGTAACGACCTGTTAAGCAGCAGTAACACTACGAATGCCACAAACGATAATGGAAGTTTAAAGAATTATGATATTAATTTCAATGGAACCACGAAACGCAATCATAATAATAACAGCAGTATCATTGTAACACCACCCAGTGGAATCGAGTTCGTCTTACCACCAGGTTGTTGAGATAATAATTCATTTCACTTGTCATTATCTGAATTTATTAAGAGATATCTATATATGTATATGATTGATCTGATCTGATCTGATCTGATGTTCGCTTCGTATATTAATTATGATGTTAATATAGCACTTCTACAGAACATTACTATTGCTATTGATTTGGTCAGTGAGCGGCTTTTGCTACTACTCATTATAGAAGAGAAGAATGGCAGGCAATTAATTATTATGTAACTGCTGCTAATTATAATTATGTGTATGTGTTTGCTTGCTCAAAAAGCTCGAAGTGAATGAATGGCTCGTTGGATTGGCGATCCTAGATAGATCTATGGTGGTGCAACATTCACAAATTCAGAAGAGAAGCCGGCCGCCGCTTTGAGCTAGCTCATAATTAGATTAGGAGTTTAGTAGAGTAGAGATTTGGATTGATAGAATATTAGATAGAGACCGACTTGTTAGGTGTTTGGTGATGGATTGATTATGTAGTGAGCATTGTTTGAGTTGAGAAAGAAAGCGAGAAATATGACATTGAAGTTGTTGTATTTGACATTGTGGTGAGCAGCAGCGAAAGTTTAATTATGATGTTTTAGTTGGCTCTTATGAGCGCTTGTTTGGCAATCCGTTACTGACAGCCGGAGCTTCTTTTGGAAGTCATCTTCTTTCACATGGATGCTTAACGAATACAGCCGCAGCAGCAGCAGCAGTTCATCGTAGCAGTAGCAGTAATCAGAATGAAAACTGCTTGGTGAATATGCATGGTGGCACCAATAACAATGACAATCATTGTGCTTTGAATGAAAAGTCAATGCTTTTTGATTTGCCGCTTAATTTGAGCAAAGTTAAAGCGGAAAGGTGAGTCAGCAACAATTCATGTTCACAGCAGCAATTTCTTTAAAGCAGCAGCAGCAGCATTTATAGTAGATGCTCTAGCCATGTGCATTTAATGATGATCACTTCAAGTAGTAATGATAATGAAGTGTAGTTGAAGAATGATTTGAAACAATTGCAAAATTTGACTGATGGACACCGATAAAACATTCAAATAAGCAATTGTTTGCACTTGTATTGATCAAGATCGAGGTCGAGGTCGAGGTAGGTAGGTTAAAATTAAGACTGGAAAGGCACTAGTGAAATTGAACGACGACTTTGAAAGATGCTAGTGAAACAGGCTTACAGAGTGTTTTTGTAGCCCAGCTGATCTATCGAAGCCTCGCAAAACGACATCTCTGGGCACGAATAGTGCAACATCAAGTGCTGCAGTCACTAGTGCTCCGAAACGACTTCAGGTCGCATCGCAGTCACCACCTGCGGCGATCAACTCAAGCGCATCTGCAGCGCTCTTCCTTACGCGTTTACCGTTTAACAGTGCTGGCACTGGCACCCTTGCACATTCAATAGCCTCAGAATGTAACTGTTTAAACTTTTTTGATTAGTAAGATTTATATTGCTACGAGTACATTGATTACTCTGCTCTCTCATCCATTTATAGTTATTATGCTATAATCAGCAGATATATATCTATGTGTTCGTGATATATTTTGGTCTCAACTAGAGCATTTTAGCTCTGTCAGCGTTCAACAGTCACTCGCCAACATCGTCCGGTAAGAGCACACCAGGCATGATCACGGCGGCATCGAGCACTAGCTCAGGCGCTGCTTCAGTTGCTGCTTCGATTGCCGCAGCAGCAACACCATTTGAAAGCATTCAAGCCGGACGCATTGCTGCCAAATCTCCGAATCACATAAAACGGCCGATGAATGCATTCATGGTTTGGGCTCGTGATGAACGACGTAAAATTCTTAAGGCTTGTCCAGATATGCATAACAGTAATATATCGAAAATTTTGGGTTCGTTTAATTTGAGTGTGAACTCTCGTTTTGAATCAGTCATTTTTTTGTTTCATTGAGTTGACGACGACGTTCCGAGTGAAACAATGCTTTTTTGTGGGATGGATGAGTAGTATTGTGTTGTTGATGTTGGCTAGTGGTTCAGGCTCAAGATGGAAAGCGATGTCGAACGCTGAAAAGCAACCATACTATGAGGAGCAGTCGAGGCTCAGTAAACTGCATATGGAGCAACATCCGGACTATCGATATAGGTAGGTTCTGAGCGAGGCTTGTCTGTAAACTTGACTCAGACTCATCTGTCACGCAGAGTTAGTTGTCAGTGTTGTTTTCAGACCTCGTCCAAAACGAACATGTGTGGTTGATGGCAAAAAAGTTCGTATAAATGAATATAAGACGATGATGAAGAACAAAAATGGTGCTGCTGCTACTACGTCGGTATCAACGGCTCAAAGCAGCAGCAACAGCAGTAATATATCGACGACGACGACAAACGGTGTCACATGTGCATCGTCGTCGTCGATTGTTGACACGTTCAACTCGAGCATGCAAACTAGCACTCCAGTGAGCAACTACTCGTGGCCATCCTCATCGTGCACAAGCAATAGCAGCACAGCAGCATTACTTGATGCTTCTCAAGCTGCTGCTGCTGCTGCTGGTGGTGGTGGTGGTGGTATTGGTTCAAGTGCTGGTGATTTTATGATGGAAAATGTAATTTTAGCGGCTGCAGCCGCTGCAGCTGCAGCAGCTTTATCGAACGTTTCAGCTGCGGCCGCCGCCTCAACTTCAGCGGATTCGATTAAGTCGACGGTTGCTCGTGCTGGTGCTGGTGCTGAGTGTACTGAGCAAGATTCGATGAGCAGCACTAGCACTAACCAAAACACTCTTGTTGCCATATCGCCCTCATCACCGTCATCCTCGTCGTCGCCAGCCACAGCATCAGCAGCTATATTGTTGAACAATCAACGAGCGTCGCCATCGTCGTCGCATCATCATCATCATCATCACTCGCAAGCACGTTGTTTCACATCGTCTTCTCCTGCTCGAACAAGCAGCGGCAGCAGCACATGTTCGCGAGCCGTCTCCTCACCATCTCCTCAGCACTTCTCACCACCTAGCGCTCTAACCTCAAACCCATTATCCACCACCACCACGTCATGTTCAGTCGCAGAAATTACCGAATCCATCATAAAATCTCCGAATTCTTCATTGTCTTCTTTAGATAGCCATCATGATTGCTCTACAGATACTAACAACAACAATAATAATAATACTAGTAATACTACTGTCGCTACTAGTAACGTTGTTCATATGCAACGGATAGATAAAATGAGTAGAGCAGCAGAAACGAGTAATGATAATGAAATAAGTGAGGCAGTTGCTTGCACACTTGCATCCACTTCTGCAGTGTCATGCTTCAGCACATCAGATTCCCCCTCTCCGAGTCATACGACTGCAGCCACTGCTACTGCCACAGCGACGGCCACGGCTCTGTTCTCGGGCGGTGTGAATCTCGGTGCTGCACTGCTTACAGATCTAGCGCATCATCAACACCAGCATCGACATCATATCCTACAAACTGCTGAATAATTTATGATTGATTTGATCATATTATCGATGATGGCTTCTTTAAGCAGCACTTTTATGTTTGTGAGTTAATTAATTAATTAATTAATTAATGATTCTCTTGGTTCGTGCTATTATGCTCAGAGTATGTTGCTGTCTCTCTTCACTCGAACACCTCCATCGTTTCAATTTCCCATTCATATCAACTCTGAATTCATTCCTGTTTCTTCGTGTACACTCCTCCTTCGTCAATAACATTTTGTTTTTAGTTAATTGCTGCTACTGCTACTGTTGCTGTTGCTGTATTTTCTGAATGTACTTGTACCATAATATATCATTTATATGATTGCATATCATTCATTCATAATAACCATTGATTATTCATTACTCCATTTCATAAAGTATTTTTGAGTGCGCATTTTGCATTCGTCATTCTATCGGTCTATAGTAGTAGTAGTATGTATCTATTTTATTATACTTGTTTTTTATCCATTTCTTGCCGTTTATCATCTGATCCATAAGCTTTCTGAGTTGCTTGCCAATCATCACATGAACGAACGAACATCTTATCTGGTGATTATCTGCTGGTTCATTAATTATTTCATTCATTCATTCCACATCAATTAATACCTTCAACAGTTAATTATGTCTAGTGTACAATTCATTTTTGATAGTTCTTCTTCATATATATTATATTTTGTTTATTAGTAGCAGAAAAAGATATTAACTGATGAGAACTAACTCATGTGGTGTTCTGTTTGATTAGTTATTCATTCCTTATTATTATTATTATGATGATATCACATGCTTGATTATAATTACTGTCGTCATTGAAGCTGTCTGTCATTTGATGAGTTCATTGTTATTATAATTAATTAGTGGTTTTGTTATATTGTAAAGTGCGAGCGACAGTTATTGTATAATGATATTGTTTTGTATTTCTATGATCTTGATGAAAGCAGTGATCGTTTTTATTTATTATTACTATAGTGTATCGTATAAAATTTATTTTATGTGTTCACTTTTGAATTTGTTTAGGTGAGTTTTACAATACTTTGTTCGTTTGAAAATTGTTGGTTGGTTGGTTTAGTTTTCTTTTCATTTTCATTTCATTTTGAGTGTCCAATCAGTAAAAGACTCGCATCATTGTTCACGTTAAGGTTGAACTGATCGTCGAAACTGATCTCGTCGGTTCGTGATCCAGCCCGATCGATCGATCGATCATATGCGTGAGGCAAGATCAACGATAAGTGGACGTGAAAACGATGAAACATTTATGAACAAACACGTGTAAAAATAGATTTTAAGAAAATAAATAGGTAAAAATTATGTATGTATATGTATTTATATATATGTATATGAATATACCAACAAATACTTTTTATAATACATGAATGAATGCGCCGCATACACACAGAAACACATACACAAATAAATACAGATGACCTGATATATAAATATATATATATTTTTGTTAAATATTGTGTGCAAATGTTCGACGATGAGGCATAAATTAAAGTGAAACGTATTTGAAAGCACAATTAAGTAGTAAGTAGTAATGAATAAAAGTAGACAGACAGTAGTCAACCGATAACAGTCAATAATAGTGGTGAGAGGAATTGGATGAGCCGTCGCTTGATATAGGAGGGCAAATCAGATAAGTAATTGAATGTTTTGAGTGAATCAGGAAGGAAGGTAAGCAGCACAGCAAAAGAATTATTACTTTTATGATGACTGCTCACCATCGGAGAGATCAAAGCTGATGGTTTTGTGGATATATATTAAGATATATTCAAGTTGAGAAGATAATTCAGTTAGGGATAATTCAACATGTACGGTGATATGCACTCCTCCTAGAAATTAAGTACTGTTGTTGTTAGTAATAAGATAAGTAGTAATAGTGCACTGTAGGATGACAATGGAACACCCGAACTGGCGTCCATTAGATTTTGACTGACCAACCAAGCCTCGTACTCGTACGGCTCTTCAGCGAAATCGCTCACATCCTTGGGAATTTCATCGACCACATGAATATGCCAACCCATATTATAGCTGGTGTAACTCTGCAATAGTTGCTTAGTGCTTAGTGTTTATGTTTATGTTTATGTTTAATTGAATTCACATTCAAATGACCACTACTGTTATTTAGATGATAGCTGCTCACCTGATAGTAGAGCGTATCAGGGGTTTGTGCGTTCGGAGTGAACCGTAGAATGGCTGCTTCATTCTCTTCTTCACACTTCAATCGTAAGGTGCGTCGATACTCGATGAAATTATCGTATTTGTCCGGATCGTCTTCAGTGTTGTCTTGAGACCAAACACACAGACGACCAGCTGTTTGCGTTGGGTCCGAACCAGCGAACACTTTCACTTGCTGAAGAGGTGATACTGCTGCTGCTGCTGCATGCACGAATAGATAAATAAGGTAAATGAATACTACTCTACCTCACGTTCATCACTCGATAGTTTTGCATAGCCACCAAACGGTTCATTCGATATGTACAACGGATTGTAATAGTCTTGAGTGGACTTGTCCTTGCCACCCTCAACACTAAATAACAACACGGTCAATTAGTCAATCGATCAATCGATCAATCAATCGATCAATCAATCAATCAATCAATCAATCAATCACATGTGAAGAGTAGTGCACTCACATGAACGTATAGGTGATGCCACGTTTCAAATAGATGTCGGCCAAGTAACCGTTCACGTACCAAACAAATTTACCGGCTCGAGCTCGTGCCATCGACTGCAACCAAACAGAGAATTTACTACTCAAACTTTTCTTATTCACTACTCATAAACTCCCAACTCAACGTACTTGATAGCCACGTCGGCCGCCTGGTGGCCCAAGTTGAAAGGTAAAGTTGTGACGACCCTCCGTACCCAACAATGTATTCACTGGCCAACCCTCCACTTTATCCAGTTCCGTGTCATCGTACTGCAATATATTCGATGAATCAGTCAGGGAATTATTTGCTGCAGCAGCATCATTTGGATGATGAGACATATTTAGACAGCATTTGATGATCGCATTGCATAATAATAATTGTATAAATAGGAACTCGTTTCTGTGGTGCCACATAAGGTGGAATCCGCTGTGAGACGTTCGTAATTGGAACGTGACCGAAATTCACACGAAACTTGTAGCAATAGACGGATAGCCAATCGATATGGTTGATGTCGTATTCGTCTGGTAGATCGGTAATGATATCTTGCCCACCGCGATAACGCTCGTTCATGGCGGTGATCCTTCAATGCAAATCATTTCTTCTCTTAGATTCATAGATAGATGGATGGATAGTCTGTAGACGAACAACAACATCAGCACTTACAATTCGGGTGTATCACGTCCTCTTATTGGTACTTTAACACCCGCATCATAGGCAACGTTCGGTCCTCGCCCCACAAAGAAATAACCGTCTGCAATTATCAGATAGATTATCGAATGATGATGACAAACGGTTGAAAATTAATGGCTGTAAATGAGGCGGTGCGGTTGAAAATTAATGAGGCGGTTGGCGGTTGAATAATGACCAACCGGGTGCTTTGTCGCCGTCGAATGTGAAGCCGAAAATTTTAATGGTTCGTCTGTCGATTATCAAAATTGGTCCCGAACCAACATTATAACGACTTCCACGTAGTTCATTCATTAGAAACTGTGGCTTCGGCACCACAAGCGCTTCTGGAATCTGCACACTGCCGTAGTTATGCTAAAATATGATGATGATGATCCACGAGTAAAGTAATATGTTTGCATTGAACGCTTGCTTCTCAATCCAATTGATGACTGATTACTTTTTAAAGCGTTATAGGCGCACTAACCTCATATTTATGACCAAACAACGCGAAACTTCGGAAGGCACTAATTTTATGTAAGCCTGGTAGAATGAGAACCACACTGGCTGCGTTCTCATACCTGCCCAATGGGGTCACTCTGAAAAAATAATCACACAATTAAGCAATCAATCCATTTCAGAAGACCGAATCAACAAGCCAATAAGCATACCCGAACTCAAATGACGGTATTTTCAGTCCGTCTTTAGTGGGCACATTGCCTCGATCCAACCAAAAGAACGCATCTGGAATATTATTGCTTGGTTGATTTAGTGAACGAAATGAGATGATCGATCGATTCTAAAAGGGGATCGGATCGAGAAGAGGGCAAAGGCCAGTTAGTAGTTGAGTTTGTTTGTTTATTTACTTGCTGATATTTGCGTCATCAATCGTCCGTCTTGCATTCATCACTAAATAGCCGTCATCCACCCACCACCTACAGATGGTCAGTTATTTATTTGGTCAGCAGGTCGGGTCAGTACATTGAGCAGTTAGTAGTTATTCACTTAATCGTCTCCTGCCTGCATCCTCCTCATATTGTTGTGTTCATGTTCTCATTCTTATTTACATACTACTACAACTACAGAAGACGACGACATTTATAATTACTAATGAATGTCACTCACTTACAATATGCATACAAGGTGTTTATATAGGATATAGATAGATTGGTGGCGTGAGAATGACGATTGTTCAGATATACACTTAACACATACCTCATACTACCTTACACAAATAACTTTATGTCCTTATCATTCGAATTTTATTGCTACACAGTACTATTATCATATCATATCATCAGGCAGGATAAATAATCAACTAGATATTATAGATATGTTCATATCTAGGTTGATATTCATAAGGGATCGATGAAGTGCACTGGGTTATTAGAATAAATATTGTTGACTGTTATTGATATGCAGCAGTAGCAGCACGTATAATGAGAGCCTTTATAAGTACGATATTAGACGTACGTACGTACTTGATTCTTGATTTCGTTTATTTATTATTCATTTATTCACGAACAACAACAATGCTGTCTTATCTAATCTAGCCTGCTGCATAAATAGACGACTGATGATACTTTACTGCATGAATAATGTGATCCGCACTAATCCATTATATCTCAGCAGCAGCAGCAGCCAAATCTTCTAGAGATCATCAACAAAAGAATTGGAATCTTACCCGGAGCTTGTGCACCATCAAAAGTAAAGTTAACGATTTGTATGGCAGTTTCATTGACCACATAAACATGTCCTTTAATCAGCCGGTTCACATCAAATGCAGATGATGCGCCACCGACGGCTGCTACTGAATTGGACGTTTCGGATAGATCACCGATAAACACACCATATTCAGAATCGTAGGCATTCAATAGAGTGCTGCTGCTGCTGGCAGTGCTCGTTGAATTGAACTGTTCAGAGTTGACTGCAGTGCCTTCAATAGAATAAAGTGTAAATGCTTGCTTGCTTGCTTGCATGTTTGATTGATTGATTCATTATCACTCACCTGCAGCTAAAGCCACCACTAGCATAAATAGCATTGTTTTTGAATTGAATTACGTGCTCGTCGTTGTTTTAGCGAATAATTACACACAGCAATAATACCAAATATTAATGATTTCTCGAGTACACACACAGCACTCGCTTTCTTTTCTCCGAATCGAACGGGAATCGAACCCGCCAATTACCAGTTGCCGGTTACGGCTCAATACCAAATATATGCACAATAATAATAATAATAATAACAGGATCAGAGTTAGAATAGAAAACCGCTTATCATTGGAATTAATGAAGAATTATCTGAAATGGGTCACTGAAAATGATAAGTGAATATGAAACAGATAAAGATAATGAAAAATGGATGGATATGCACTTGGTGAACAACTAAGACAGCAAACAACCCAACTCAAAGAAGAGCTGATCTGGTTGGTTGATCAATCGAAGTGATCAGTGGTGGTGAGTCAGCAGCAGGAATGAACACTGTCTGAATTTCAGCTGAGCAGAATGGAACGAACGGGGAACGACGACTTGCGATGCGATGGTTGGATGGACAATTAATGTGACAACGAATAAATGAGCAGAGAAGGCGGTGATACGATCTCAACAACAGTCACAATACATAAGAAGGAAAAGGAAGGCAAGCGTGTGACATCTATTTATTATATCTATCTATCTATCTATC